ACAGCTTCCAGCGTCCCCCCCTGCAATGGCACGGCGCCCCCTCTTGGGGGTGCGCCCCACAGTTTGGGAACCTCTGCTGTAGGCCATCAAAGAAACCACAAATTATACTTGGAAAAACTAACACAAAATGTTCCTGTTAGGTGATGGTGCAGAAATCAGCTTACTGACTTGCAGATAGCAGCTGTGGCCTGTGTGTAGAAAATAAAGTAATAGATGCTTCATGTTTATTCATTTTTTTTTAATCTAAAAAGCTTTCTTTTCTTTCTCTTTTCATGTTAAATGTGATTGATTTGGTTCCTTTTCACTTAAAAACAGGACTTGTGTCAGTATTCAAGAAAATTGTGAGATTACCTTTGATTTTCTTCCACTAGAACAGGATAAACAGATACATGCTACTTCTTGTAATCTGTGCATATGGTATGAAGACGCAACATGAGAACTCGTAGTGTTGTGTGTGGAAATCACAGTTTGATGTTAAAGATTCAGTGGTTGAAATAAAAACCTCACACAGCCACATTAAACATTCCCATCATTCGGTTCCAACACAGAAATGTTCACACAAATCAAAGCAGTAACTGAACCAGATGCAGATGTGAAGCCGCAGATAAAATTGGTTCCAAATTCCAACACAGTGCTGCAGAATGAGTCTTCAATAAAAGAAAGCAGCCTCCACCATGAGCTTGGCACCATCAGTCTGCAAATATTTCAGCGATGTTTACTGATACTACCTTATTAACTCAATCTCTATGAAAATTCACCCAGGACATATTTCAGTTTGTGGTGTCTCTTTACAACTGAGAGATACAATTAAGTCCTATCTATGCTGGACTGAACATTTACTGCATGTGCACGATTTACTATCAAATCTTGAACCGTAAATCAATAACCAAATATTAATCTATTAATCCAGAGCAAGCCAGCCACTCAGTCACCATGTTTTTCTTCTGTCTAGATCTTCCTCTGGATTACAAGTTTCCCAGGTTTTCCCCGGATAAGCCCTGCACTATCGGCTACTACCCGAAGCCTCCAGATTCTGTTTTGAAGAGGTGTGAGAATCTGTCATAAAAAAGGGATGTTGTGGTAGAAAACAGAATAATAAGGAAAAGAAAAAGAAGTCCTCCTTAACCCCTCTGCCTCAGAAGGGGAATGTGCCTCTGTTTTTTTTTTTTTTTGCTTGTTGTTTCCCTGATATTGCAGGGTGCGTGCATTCATCACCCATTCAGACAAACCATGTGAATGTAAGCCACAGTAACTCTGTAATGACACCTACATTCGAAAGTTGTTTTGTGGTTCAGTGTCCCAAATCTGTGAACATACAAGAAAACATTGTGTCTGTGTGTGTATTCCTGTCTTGTTTTAAACGGGTGATCCTTCCCAACTGCTCTAAAATAAGGTAAACTTCTGCTCGTCTCTCTTACTGTGAACTGATTACCTCAATAACAAGTTGCTAAACCGGAGGACTCATACCTTCACATCATTCATTGTGTACAATGCTGTTTTTGTGAAATTGTCTTTTTAATGTTGGTTTATATTTTAGTAACCTTAAGATGAGGTAAAAACTTGCTCTGTGGATGTTACTGTTGCCACACAATGGGCACAATGCTTTCCTTTTTTTGTGTTAGGTGTACATGTAGGCCTCTTCATGGTTATATTGAAAGACAGAAGACTATACTGAATGTGTCAATATTATTTTAAGGGTGATGTGCTTTTTGGGTGGACCATGTGTACTTTATTCATGTGTGCACTAAAACATGCTTTAACCGACCTTTGAATGGTTATTATGTCCATTTGCATTAAGTCTTGCCATAAAACACTAGGAACACTCAAGTCTGCATAAGTATTTTGGTTGCTGTTAAGAATTATTGAGATTTATTTTAACCACATGGAGTACGTTTTGGAAATGATTAACATAGCTTGTCATTAAGCTTGAACTATATAGTTGGTCATGGTGCCCACACATCCAAAGGAACTACGATCTATAAATTCTATTAATCGTTTCATTTTGTTGGTTCTCTGAACCCAGATTCTAAACACCAGGGGCCTCATGCATAAAGCGTGCGTTCGCACAAAAAATGTGCAACGTCATATTTTACGCACAAGTCGGCATGTATAAAGACTAACTTTGCATCAAAGTTAGCATAAATATACCCACACTTTTTGGCTGGGGTGAAAATGTGCGGCAGCCATGCAAATTTTTTTTCTGTGGACAATATCAAACTACAAAGCATCAAAACTCACCTAAATCCACTGAAATCTGACTAAATTT